TCTGATCTGATCTGCTGTAGACCACAGGCCACCCAAATAGCCTTTGTCGGGCTGCAGCACTCCAGTTGGAGCCAGTGATCCTCAACCAGTGGCCCGTAGCCCCCAGTGGTCCCAGTATAAGCAGTTGGTAAAAGATGTCTGAGGAGAACCTCAATAGGTAGAGGCTGGATCTCTGCTGGTGTTATCAGAGGTGGGAAGAGCAAGGAGAGTTTGAGTTAAAAGAAAGTGGAAACCACGGCGTGATCCCGATGGCAAAGACGGGATTGAGCAGGCCGGGATCTGGGATCGTATTTGGCATCTGGCTCCGAGTTCCCACGCTGCAGGTGTTTCCGCAGCTGGCACGTACCCATGAGCTGCCACTTTCGATTGCCTGCGTGGGATTAAATTAGCTCAGCTGAGATTCCTGATTTTTGGAAGCTAGACCCCACCTCTGCAGAGACACCAGGCCAAGGAGCAAGACCTGGTGCAGCACAGACCTCCCCAGGGCATGAGGCGAGAGCCGGCAAGGGATGCACGGGGCAGCTGAGAAGACGGTTCCTGGCTCCTGGCTCACTGCTCTGAGCCAGCAGAAAATCCTGGCTTGACCCCACATCCACTGACCACTGTCCTGCTGTTTCAGTCAAGCTATGCCCAGGAGGTGGCTGGGAACACCTCCAGCCCCGCACCCAGGGGCAGCATCCACCAGCAAGGGTGCTCCAGACACCACGGCCCCTCCGACCGCCTGCAGCACCTCCCCTCCGACCACCTGCAGCACCTCCCTGCTCTCCCACACATCGGGCCTGAGGTTGGGCTGACTCCAGCATTCTTCACCAAAAGGGTGGTGAAGCACTGCAATGAGTTCCCAGAGGAGGTGGTCAAGTCACCACCCCTGGACGTGTTTAAAAAACGGCTGGATATGGCACGTCAGGGGGTGGGTCCGGGTTAGGGGGGAGCCGGGCCGGAGGGTGGACTTGATGATTCTTGATGATCTTAAAGGTCCTTTCCAACCTTTATGATTCTAAGATTCTATTATTCTGTCTACTCCGAAAGTGGAGACCTGAAATCTCCACCTTTACAAGACAGCACGCAGGGTTAAGTGCTCCAGCATCATTCTCCAGGGTGCGGCATATCAGACTGTGGCGTATCAGAGAGGCTCGGAACCAAAAGATGTCCCCAAGGAGAAAGCTGAGACTGAGATTCCATTCTGACGGTGCTTGGGTGTCACGGGTTAGGGCTGGGCTGGCCACGAAAACGCGGACAGACGCTCGCTAACCCCAAACGGGAAGGAAAAAGGAACGAGGCAGAGAGAGTCACGGGTTAGAAAACAGCTTTGATGAAACAATAATAGAAATAATAGTGAAATTATAAAAATAAAGAACTATATACAACTATATATAAGTCTGATATCAAACCCAGTATCTGAGAAGAGACTGAGCTGGAAAATAAAAATCACTGAACAGAATTGGGTCTGTTAGGCTCAAACCAGGACTTTGGGAAACCCTGCACTTAGTACAGCCTTGCTGAAGTCAACGGCCGAACTCCTGTTGATGTCAAAATGAGCAGAAATAGTGTAACGCTCTCTGCTTTATAAAATAAATAAACAAACAAACAAGAAAGCTTTAAAAATCTCCTTTCATCCTGGAGAGAGGAACCAAACCCAGGAGCAGATGCAGAGGTGGGCAGCCAGGCCGACGAGAGGAACAGAGAGCATTCCATGGAAGGACTTAACAAAGTTAAGCAAGCACCGTGAAGGGGGCATCAAAAGCTACTTGAAGATGAAAGTCAATGTGGGCACAGGAACAAAAGGTATAAACTGGGTTGAAAATCCCAAATTAGCCATTGTCCTGCCTTCGAGCCAGTGGAAGAGACACCAGTCAGAGCACCAGCCAAAAGACCAGCTCAGTTCAGAGCTTGTCACAATTTCTTCACCAGCCCCCTGGACAGTTCACACACCAAGACACATAACGCAGAAAATACCTTTTCAGTCTGACGGTGTGTTGTCCACTTGTGGACAGAGTAAAAGACCCAAATCCATGACATTAAACTCACAAACCTCATGGTAGGAAAACACCACCGTATTAAGTGGACATGGTCACCTCCTTTTGCATCCTCTAAAGCTCAGTCTAGATCTTCCAGCTCTTCTCACAGTATTATTTGGTGCTTCCAACATCTCATTAGTTTCCCCTGGTAGTAGCGCACAAAGAAAACTCTATCTTGATGGCTCCATGGCAGCTGCTGCTTTGGGTGTGTGACCAGGACCAGCCACCCACGCTGCCATCTCAGGGCTACGCTTCCACAGCGGGCTTTGGTCATTTCCATCCAGCCTGAAGACGACGTTCATTGAGTTCACAGCAACCACCACCGAGCAAGGGAGGGCCATGACGCTCAGGCAGAGGTTACTGCAGCGCGCAGAGCTGCTGGAGAGGTTTTGATTTGTGGTGAAGAACAGCAGCTCCTCAGCTTCAGACACCAGAGGTGAGCTTGGAGGCTCCAGGCACAGAGCGGGCAGTTCTGCTCTGGTTTCCCACCCATCCTGCTTGGCCTTGTTGTCCTTCTCAGACCCAGCTGGCTCTAACATCCAGTCAATGGAAACAGCTTTATGGCTTCTGGTGGCTTCTCCGTACTCATGTGCATTTCCTCTGCTGCTCTCCAAAGTCCAGGGCACAGCCCCAGACAGTGAGCAGGGAAGGGGAGGGCTTGAAAGTCACCCTGCCATGGACACAGATGGACAGAGATGCTCCAGTTCAGCAAACCCATCACACCTTCATCGTAGAACCACAGAGGCACAGAATCACAGAGTCACAGAATCATAGAATGTTGGGGTTGGAAGGGACCTCCAGAGCTCACCCAGTGCCACCCCCTGCCAGAGCAGGGTCACCCAGGGCAGCCCCACAGGAACGCGTCCAGGCGGGTTGGAAAGTCTCCAGAGCAAAAACCTCCCTCTGTGGCACGCCTGGGCCAGGCCTCCGGCACCCGCACAGCAAAGAAGTTCTTCCTTATGTTTTTGTGGAACCTCCCGTGCTCCAGCTTGTGCCCATTGCCCCTTGTCCTGTCATTGGTTTTCTGTTTCATCCCCACCTCCTGCCCAGGTACCCTTTGTTCTACTGCAACATTTTCTCTCTCGTAGCACAGAGGATCCACACATGCTCCCGTTGGCAGCTCCTGCCGCCCTCAGCATCCTGAGCCATTTATTTCACCCTTTTGTCAGCATTCAAGGCTTTCAGGAGTTGCTGCTCTGGGCCTGCCGACATCCATCCAGTGCGGCCC